TATAACATACCTGTGTTTTGTTTTTGTGTTTTTGGTTTATTTTGTCTCATGATGAAGATTGGCCCAAACGTGTGTGAATTTACAATAACTGAAATATGTACAGTGGCAGATACCCATTGATTAATGCCAAAACAACACAGAAAAAATTGTGATAAATTTTGATATTCTTGAAATGCTTCAGTATATACTACCTGTCAGTAGGGGATGAGGCAAGCGAGATAACAGCATGTGCAAATGGTACGTTGTAACATTTAGCTTCCGCACTAGGTTTGTTGCTTAGGGTTTTTAGCCCTTGGGAGAGATGTGAGTGCGATTCACTGCTCTTTGTGTTCGACAGGGTGCCCAGTACAATAACTTCATAGCGTAGATTTTGTGTAATGTATGCAAGTCTGTCTCCTTCTCCTAGATCGTGAGCCTCTGAGCAGTGGAGATGCCCTGCTTGTTCTCCCTAGTCGATGAGGATGGCAGTGATTCCATGGCTGATGCCAGATCCTTCATGGTTTAAATTCAGGGTGGAATACATAGATTCACTTGATGTGATTTTGATTTTTCTAACTAATCCGTACTGTCTGTATTTATCAAAATGCCATTAGTGTCGTGAGTCTCTTATCTAGGCTTGTCCCATATTTAGAACTGAAGTCCCAAAGTGACACATCTAAGTAGAAAAACTCTCTGGGAGGTGTTTGTTTTCAAAGAAAGTGGAAAAGAAAGAAAGAAAGTGGAAAAGAAAGTGGAAAAAGTGGAAAACCCTAAGATATAAGCTAATGGATGGTTAGGGGCAAAACTGAGGTGTCCCTGGCAGCTACATTTATTTTTAAAGGGCCTCTTTGTGTTTTGTTAATTGCCCAAATAAACAGCTCTCCAGGACTAAGAGGCCTAGCGTGCCCTGGTAGTGTTTGTACCCCAGAGAGAGGAGGGGAAGTTGGCTGGGGCCATCTCCCTTGCCTCCTCACATCCTGCTTTTTAATGGTCTTTCAGATTTCTACATACAGAGAAGGAAACTGCTCTATCTATTCTTAGCACATAAATTCTCCCTGCTATTTAAGATGGCCTTTCCTCTACCTTGTTTAATTATGAGCATCAGTGCATTGTTTCATGGAGCCCTGGAGGTCTGGGATCTATAAAATTATCTCCAATTATCATTTTATTTTTTTTTTAGAAGCTGTGACTGACATTTGGCAGTTTCTTAGCTTTATATTCTTTGGCCATACACGCTTTAAAGATGCTTTTAAAGGGGCAGCCAGCAGCAGGAACCCGTAGCAGAAGCAGCTCTTCACGTGCACAGCAGTCCTGGAAAAGTATTTCTCTGCATGCTGAGGACTGGCTGAGTGTGTTCAAGTTACCTGAGAGGCAATTTAAGAGTCTTGGCTTATTTTAATTTCTTGATCTAGCAACAGTACTAGCAGCTAGTACCAGTATTCCTCTCTGAA